TTTATTGTTCTTCATCGTCACTAGTGGCAATGGCTGCAGTAGCTTCCGTGTGTTTGCCTTCCATATGAATCATATTAAAATGCTGAAGTGTTGCAACATCGTTAAAGAGGAAATCTGAGCAACAATAGTAGGTTAGGTGGATTAATTTTGCTTAATGTAAAATCTACAATTAAACATTTAAATATAATTTTTTTTCCTTTGAATCCCTTTATATCTGGTGGAAAGAAATACACAGCCTCAGAAGGCCATTCATGTGCCTTGTGTTAGATAAGTATCTTAGAATGAGTTTAATCAGCCTCCCAAGGTGCCTAATTATTTCCATTGACTACAAAGGAAGCTGAAGGTGACTGACTGGCAGTTAACTTCAAATGCTGAAACAGGGCAGATGAATTCCACCCTTATAGATGGAGATAAGTAGCTTTAAAAAACTAAACATAGATTATACTGAGAGAGAATAAATCCTTTCTCACAATACTAGAGGGTAAAAAAAGGTATCACAACAGTGACTCTAATTTGATAATACCATAAGAGACTGGATTTTAAAAGTAGTTATGGAGGGAAAAAAAGCAAATGTAACAAGTTCTCTCTTCTACTTCCTGAACGTTGTCTTTGAATATCTGTTGGTATTGGGGATCAAGATGAGAGAGGTAGCATTGGAAACTTACTTGGCCATACAAGATAAGTGTCCCCCAAATCCTCAAACCATGAGGAGGGAGGTAAAAAGTAATACGGGGGGGCAGGTGCTATCTTAATTTATTTTGAGGTCATATAATAGCTATAAAACTATAATAAGTGTAGTTAAGACTGGGACACAGGCAAGCAGAAGCATGTGAGCTTCGTTTATTGGCAGGCTGCAGACACCATGTGTTTATTGTAGTTTGGTATCATGTTAACATCATGTTCTTGAATGCATTGGGATCTTTGGCCTGTGGTATCTCCAGAGAGGGCTAGTTTAGAAGCAGGAGGAGCTTATGAGCATGAATGATTCCCGGATCCTGCCAGCTGTGCTAATTTTGAGGGCTGATTTTCGAAGAGCTGCAACTCCAGGAGCTCTTAAGAGTTGTAGAGGGTAGGTGATCAAGGGGAAGGATTAGAGGTGGGGAATGAGCTGACTATTTGGGTTCAGAAAGTAGGTGATGTAGACTTCAGTTGGTTAACAGATCTGGTAAACCTGCCAGGTCTAGAAGAAGGCCTAGGAGTGGAAAGGTCTGGTGGTATTTAGTAGCTCTAATAGTAAATCTGCCTTAAGTAGAATAGATTTGCAGTTGTGTTTCAGAGCAGAACTAAAAACTTTGTAGAAAGCTGCTTGGTTAGATGATGGCTGGTGCCATTTGAAGATAGTGGATTACACTGGTTTTGTTAGTGCTTTGGCATTGCACCTATAGCACCAGTTTGGGTTAGGCAGCACTAGTGTTGCAGACAGCAGAGATGTATAAGCTTGATTTAAAACAGGATCCTACAGCTCACCCTTATAGTCCCAGCCTTCTGTCAGTATATCCTACACCCTAAACCTGGGTCCCATTGTAATGCTAACTTATGTTATTGATCAGAGATTCAAATTAATCTACAAATTTTATAGAAACCACTGTCCGCTACAGATGCTGGCTGTCATCCTGTCTGTGGTGGGTAGATTCTCTAAGCTGTACCACAGGACAGGAGCTTAAATTGAGTTAGGGCTGGGGTTTGGGGTGTGGTAATGGGGTGGGAGGTCTAGCAGCACCTCTGAGTGGAAAGAGTTCTGGGAAGCAGTGGTCTGGGATGTGTGGGCAGGGTAGACTGCTGGAAGTGAGGGAGCAGGACTGCCAGTCACAGGACTAGCAGGATGGAGTCAGGGAGGTACAACGTTGATATGAGAAATTTTTGAATGGCAAATTGGTGCATTTTCTGTCAACACAGAGGACTGTGGAAGATGGATGCAGATGTGGAAGACAGGCTGTTTCAGGGGTATGTGGATTTCTGGGGGCCGGGAGTGGAAGGGAGCTGTGCTGTGTGAGAAGGGAAGTCCTTTTGAACGTATGGAAACTACTCATAATACCTAGTAGGAAAATTACCTTTTAACTTCCATGTGGCAAATTAATCTCTACAAACGTGTAGCTTTATTTTATGAGACTTGTTATGCTAGGGGGGTTGAGAAAGATAATTCAGTAATGTGTTTGTGGGTCAGCATGGAGGAGGGTGCCAAAGCAGGACTGTCAGGCAGGTGAGAGAGATGTAATAGTCTGTCACCCTAAACAAAGGCACAGTTGCCCGGTTCTTTTAGCCAGGCTACTTCCGAACACCCATCTGTGTTTGCAACTAGGCAGTAGAGGTGCTCCCATTTTGTCTTTGTACACTGCCATCAAGCTGTGGCAGGCAGTTCAGTATTGCTCAGAAGACTTTGTAATCTGTGGGCTGGCTGGGAATTGTTGGGTTCATTACTGAGGGAGTTGGTGTTGATGATGATGTGTGCTGTGAGTCCAGACCACTGCTGACACACCAGCAATGCTGTGGGCAGGAGGAACACCTCAGGCTTATCGTACGTGTTTGCTAAGGGAAGCTAGAAGGTCAGCTACTTAAGATCGTCTGTTCTTGCTTAAAGCTCTTCCAGACCACATGTATTTCTCATCAGTAATGATGAGAAATAATAATAATATTAATAAAATAATAAAAACCCAATTAAAAATAATAAGCCCTTATTTAAATATTTATTATACACTGTAGATACTTAATTCTGTCATTGCGTACGGTACCAATAAGATTGGTGTGCTGCTTTGGGCCAGCTGCAAAGGTGTGGTCCAGATTGGAATAGGTGGTGTTATCTGCAGCTGGCAGTCCCACCTTCCCGCTCCGGCAGGTACTATTTCCTGTCTTGGGAAGTATGATGAGTGTATTCTATTTGACGGTCACTAGTAAGCAACCAACCATAGTTAAGTGGTTTAACTGCAAAGAATTCAGGCAGATCTTTATCTGTAGCTGCAGTAGGAACTTGAGTAATACTGTTCTCCAGCTTAACTGGTGGAAAAGTGGCTACTGCTGCAAATATTTGCATAAAGATTTAACTTCACTTTCTGCATGTATCAAGGCAAAGAAGCTCAACTGCTCCCCTTTTATTATTAAAGGAAAATAATGGAGCAGGCCTGAGGTTTAACTGAATTTTTTTTTTTCTTTTTGTTTGAGGAATTTTCATGGCTCTATGTCAGTGCTCTTGGGGACATTTTTGAAGCTGGCTGCCTCTTGCTGATGGTGATCATTCTGTGGTATTTTGGAAACTTACAGAACAAAGTATGTTTTCACAGCAGCTGAGTGCAAAGTCTTACAAGATGGGAGGCTTGTTAAGGTGAGGAGCTGGCACTGAATGGCAGACTCATATAAACTTCTGAGATCAAGCAGAACATTTCCATTTAATTGTGAGCTCCAAAATTACTTTGGTCAGTACAACTGCTTAAACATATCAACATAAGGCTCAAGATTACAATAAAGCATTTCACATGAAAACACTTCAAGCAGCATAACATGCTTAGTATTTGACAAAACATCCTCCAAGTATCTGTACAGAATTATTTTCATAAACAGTGTTTCTGGAAGATCTAAACCTCACAACATAAAACATGTAACTCCTTTTTGTCAGTGGTTAACAGCTGGTTTTGGTGATGTGTTTGCCATTAAAACTCTAGGAACAAATTATTTCAAGGGCTGCAAGACCAGGATATGTTTCTATATAACCTATACTTTTAAATGAAGATTCTGCTTCCATGGTTTTGTACATTTATTTGATGGAGTATCAGATTACACAGTCATAAAATTCTATTTACTATTTAAAGTAAAATGATAAATGTTATGAAAAAATACCTTTATTACATCAGTGATGCTTTAACTAAAGTGAATAGTAAGACTATTAACCAGGGGTTGAAAGTTTTAGGCCCTGATATTGAAAGCACTTCTATATGTCCTTAACTTTACATGTAAGGAGTCTCCCTGGCAGCAGAGGGACTACTCCGATGGGCGATGTTAAATGGGTGCCTAAGTGTGTGCAGAATGTGGGCCAAAGTACTCGGAGAGGCGCGGATGTGTTATACAGAGAAACATTCTCAGCACATAAATAAAATCTGGCGTTTTAGTATGTACATATACTGAAAAAGAATATTCTTAACTGAAAGGATGTGTTTTCTTTTTCTCTCCTACTAGCGAACATATTCCCACTTCACTCAGAAAGTGCTTATGTATTCTCAGCTAGAGAATTACCTCATCAGCTGTGAATCTAGCATGGACAACAAATCTAAACCAAGAATGTCTTATCAGCAGGAAATACTGGGGGAAGAGAAGGCTGGCAATCGTTTCTGTATACCTTTATTAATAAAAAACCTTCTCATAGAGAAGAATACTTTTAAATATTTTCAATCCTGATATATATACAATGGTAAAAATTCACATTTTCATGCTTTAGTGAGACACTTTAAAATCCTGCCCCAGGCAGCTCTCAGAGTAGCTGTATCTAGTTCCTAGCAGCTGCCTCACATTCAGCTCTAGTACCAGAAGCTTAAACTCTTGATAGCTGAGCAACCATGGGGAGAGAAAACACAGTTCTACCAGATTTGGAAAGGGAAGGAAAGAAAGAAAAAAGGAAGTGATGGGTCTTTCTATTTCCAGAGGCCCAGTAGCTCTCCTGTGTCCCAGAACAAGTCAAGGCAGTTCATGTTTCCAGTCCCATTAGACCTGCCTTGTACCATTTCTGATGGCAGGGCCCAAGTGCAGTGTCTGTTCCACACAGTCCTCAGTAGTCTAAAAGAAACGTGCCCATCACATGGCAAGAGAAAAATAGCCCTTTGGAGCACAGCTGATCCCCTCTCTCCTTGAATAGGCAGAACACCTATCTATTGCACCAGTTTTTCCAATATATCAGGAAGTATCCCCAGGGTTGATGCCTTTCACGGCTATCTATATACACTTTTCTGATAAATTCAATGTCTCTGTGGGGAAGGTGACCTGGAGAGGGCTGCCCTTGGATGTAGAGCTGGCCCTGCCACCAGACCTGATTTCATTCACCAGGAAGACACTCTCGGAGTCCTGCCCCTGCGAAGAGTCCGAGGTCTCAGAGCTACGCAGTGTCCTTACTGAGGTGGTGTCAGACTGAGCCAAGCTGGCACTGGGGCCCGGAAGCAGCACGCGACCCCCGACGCTGCTTTCACTTAACTCCGGAGGGTAGAGCAGCGTTTGTGAGGTGCTGCTGATCTCCCTCAGCTCACGGGAGATGAAGGAGGGTGACTGACTTGACATGGCGGAGGAGGTCCTGCGGCCATCCACGCAGTTGAAATTGCCCCCCGAGTGCTGCCTCCGAGCCCCTCCAATGCGGCAGAAGAGGCATTTGATCTTCTCGATGGCTTTGCTGAGCACAGTCTTGCGGAGGAGGATGTAGACCCACGGGTCCAAAATGGGGTTCACCGAGGCAATGCGGATGGCTTGCAGGTCAGGGTTTTGCCTCACATCCCTCACTGATTCTGGCTGGTACAGCTGGTTCACAAAGACACGGACCTAGACAAGGAGATGGGGGAAGAGGAAGACACAATTATACAATTACATCAGGAAATCAAAGTTTACATTTCAAAGAAGAGATCTAGATTTGCTACTGCAAGCTACAACAAGAGAAGACTCTGGCAAAGCCAGGCATCTCAGATTGGCAGCCATGAGTTTATTTTTGGAAATAGCAATAAAATCAAAGAGATGAATCTGCCGTAAATTGGCCTGCTTTGTTACAGGTAGGAAAGGAATGGCTCTTTCTCTCTCCTTCCCCTCATACTTAATCCTGGACCCTCCAACTTTTGGCTTATGTTTTTAAAAATTTCTTTTTTCTGATAGAAGTCAGGAGCAAAGATGTAGACCTGTATCCTGCTTCCTTGGTATACCTCGAGTCTTATGCTACCTGCAAAGAGATATCTGTCTGAGAAGACCTGGACAATCAGTTCCTCTAGCAAAGGTCTAATAATTGTTTGTTTAGAAGCAAACTGAAACACAGATTATAATCCAAGTACACTAGACTCTGGAAACAAGTCCAGAGCTGTCGATTCCCAAGTTTAAAAATGCATTTTGCTGGCACCTGTTCTTACTGGAATTGTTTGTAAACCCTCAACTGTTTGCATGCTGCAGCATGGTTTGGAAAAAAGAAATGTGGAAAAAAAAAAAAAAAAGAAAAAAAAAAAGGAAAGGTCCCCCAGCTAGGAGCTTTTTAATAGGTCAGGATGATGAGATGATTGCAGCACTGGATTGGATTGCTCTCCTACACAAGCCAGCATTTTGGTTCTACTTAGAAAACCACAAAAATACTGATGAAGTGGTCAAGAATTTAAGATGTTGAAGCTGCTGCATGAAGTTACTACTTAATCAGCAATTTCAGTTTATCATGCACAAAATTTAAGACTAAAGGATCTTGTCTTCTACACAGAAATGTCTTCTTCAGCTTCTTCCTTTGAATCCATGAAAAAAACCAGTAACCTAGTCCCTCTCCTGGTTTAGAAGCCACTTTTGTAAACGCTACTGTAAGGCACAGTCCAATTCTTTGACATCAATTGTTATCTTTCCAGTGTCACTAAGGAGGACGTCATCACATGAGTTGGTTATGTTGATCAGTCTCAAACAGCTGTTCTCTACTTTAGCAAGACCTATGCAGTGTCCAATTATAGGAAGGCCTAGGAAAGCCACTGAAAAGAATTGATAATGGAAGATGCTGTTTTCTTCAGATTCCTTAAGGTAAGTCAGAATAAATCCTTTAATTATCTTCTTATCGGATACAGTAAAAATCTAGTAGCAAAATTATAAGTTTTTTAAAATCTCATACTTGACTCCTGAAATGAATGAAGTCTTGCCTAGCTAGAAGGTTACAGACAAGGAGGCAGACACGCATTTAAATAAATGAGCCAAACTAGAACAGCCCTCAAGTCATTTTTATTAGAAGTTCTGCATGTGAAGCTGTCCAAATCTGGTGAAAAAATTCACAATTCTGTTTGGAGAAATTTTTCTGCAGCAGGGCAATGTGGTGGCATTTGGCTTGTCAGAATTCAGAGACTGAGTGTGCTCCAATGCTCTCAATGAAGTGTGTTTAAAATAATGCAAAGTCCCTCTCTGGAAGTCCTATGCGTATAGTTTCTCTCAAACCACCTGTCAGATCTATGATTGCCTATATTGTCTTTCGTAGTACTTTTCCCTGCCCTTTCTCAGGGTAACAAAACCTGCCCACGTAAGTCAAAATATGTGAAAATCTTGAATTTATGCAGCAATATAATGATCCAAATTTTATTCTCGGTTACTTCCCTAATGACTTCTAACACTGCAGATGCCTTTTTGACAGCTAATTTATTGACCTTATTTTTCTGTTAAGCCAAAGATGCAATTTAGGTACTTCAAAGAGTATTTCTACGCATACGGAAGGAACTTACTTTTATGGTTTTTTCTTTTACTAAGCTTTACTTGCTCCGAGCGTTTTCACTGTTTTGTATTAGCCTCCAGTCCCACATCCATCACTACATGATTCCATCTGTCACTGGCTGAGAGAAGACCAGCCCCTTCCAGAGGCCAAGATTGTTAAATACCTGCAGTTTGGCGGGGATTCATTGATGATTCCTTAAAAATGCCCTTGATTAAAACCTCTTGCCATTTGCCGGTGGCGGGGGGGTGGCACAGGGAAGCCAGCCGCCCTCTGAGTCGGCGACCCTTCCGGAGCGCACCGCTAGGTGGCACGGATGTCCCACGGCCACGGCCACGGCCACGGTCATGGCCACG